AGTTTAGCTTATTTCACTTTTTATAGTCATATATATATTGAGGTGTGATTTACATTGCTTTGCTTAATGAATATAATTGGTGTTAAATTGGATTGTGTGCTTGGAATTTGTAACTTAGAAATTACACAGATTGTATAGTTGAGTGTTGATTTTGAAGCTGTGAACTGTGAAACTACTGGGGAAATGCTACAATCTCGTTATAGAGCTATTTCGTAGGGATTTGTAACTCAACTATTCTCGGCAGTTATATGATGACTTAACGGTTACAAATTTCGACGAAATGGTTAGCCTCTCCCGTTATTGTGTACTATGGTATGTATTGTTTATCAATTATAGTCAAGTATGACTTTAAAACTCCGACGAAATGGTTCTGTAACGGGACTGTGGCATCTCCATATTGTGTACTATGGTATGTATTATTTATCAATTAGAGTCAAGTTTCTAACTATATATATATATTATGGGTGTTCAGTTTTGGGAGGTCTTAACGCGTTTGGGCACACGCCATATTTAGACAAAGTGATGAGCCACATATGCCCACTTGGGCAATTTTCTTGATTTCATATGAAGGTGTGAATGGTAACCTTCCATTGAGTATCAACTCATTTTAATAATATTAAATAAAATAACCAAAATATATATCACATTTTAAAATACTGCTGAAATGATTCACGCTTTAGAGCATTTACTATGCTCATATGTTAGTGATTAATGTTGTGTCACATTTGAGTTAACTCGTAGTACATGACATATGCGAGACACATTTGAATTATAAATTAAGACACATTTGAATTATAAATTAAATATATAAGTAATATTAATTGTCACTTTCTCATGAAAATGTTTCTTACTTTCATTACTTGAAATGTGTATTCTATTTAGGAAAATAGTAAAAGTACATAATAAATAATAATGTACATAGAGATATACATAACACTCACATGTAGTGGGTCAATTTGGAGTTCTTGTTTAGAATTAATGAAAATGAAAGTTTAACATAATCAAGCATACCTCTCTTTCCTTACTCATATTACATTATATTATTTCGAATCATAAATAAGTGACAATAAAGTTAAAAATTGTGGCAAATATTGTAAATAGACAGAAAAAATGGAGTACATGTTACATTAAAGTTGATTAGTACAATTATTTTATATATTTTTTTGATATTATAATAATGTATATTACAAACTTTTTAGTTAAGCCTTTTACCCAAATCGCCGAAAACCCTTGTTCCCAAAATCGGCGGCTTTGTCTCCCCTCCTTCTCAATTTCAGCTCGCCTTCGTCGGTGGAATCGACTGCTCAGTGGTCGCCCTCGACTGCTCGTCTCTCTCCCGGAAGCAGCACGCCTCTCGAGAACTCGCGATGGTGGTGGTTGCAGCTCGGATGGATTTCCCACCTTCTGGTAAGGTCCCGTGTGCTCCGGTCGCCAGCTTCCCAGAATTGCAGCGATGTTGGGTTGAGTATGGGTTAGGGGGTGGGGCGAGGCTCCGAAGGCCTGTGGTGTTGTGCGTCGCGTTGGTCACAGAGGTGGTGTCGAACTGCTCTTCTCTTCTCGATTCTCGATTATTGGGTTCGGGGGATCTGGTGCGTCTGTACTCGGCTAGTGCTGTTAGCAGGGTGGGGGCTGTGCTGGTCTCTGCTAGTGGTGTTAGCTGGGTAAGGTGGTGTTTGGTTTTCTCTGGCTTGGGACGAATCGACTTTAGGGTTGGTTTTGAGCTTGGTTTCGGCTCAGCTAAGCGATTCAGCAGTTTCGGTTGCGGTTCCTGGGCCTTTGGATCTCTTCTGAAAATCGATGGTTCATCCACTGGTTCAACTTGATTTTTCTACTGTGGGATGACTCGTTTGTTTATTTTGTTGTTTTGTTTGGACTGGTTTTGCTCTTTTATTTAGGTCTCGTGTTTTTGGTTTGGGTCGTTGACCCCTGTGCGCCCTAGTGTGAGTAGGTATTATCCTGTTGGGATCGTTTTAATCTCCTGTTTGGGAATTAGTAGTTTTTTTTTTTAGTTCTTTAGTTTTGTGTTGTCGTGAGTGTGTTCTTCTAGTGTTGCTAGGTTAGACTCTAGGCCATCTTCAGATCTGTCCTTCCAGTCTTTTCAGCCTTGGTTGTATTTTTCAGTTTTTGGTTGTTTTCTCTTCGCACTTTATGCGGTTTTCTAGTTACACAATTTCCCTATCGTTTTGGAGAAAAAAAATAAACTTTTTAGTTTTTTTTTTCTAGTCTAATAATTGATAAGGTAGATTAAAATCAATTATTTTATTATTAGTTTTTCCCAGTCAATAGCTTCATGATCACTAGGAAATTGTATATATGTAACAAAATCAACAAATGTAATCAATATCGTCTCCTCCAAAATCTTCCAACGACACTTGCAATATAGTACCATGTTCATAATTTTTCAAGATAATAAATTATAATCTATAACATAATAATTTCTAACTTCTAACATGATACTAATAAATTATAATTTATAAGCTAATCAATTCTAACCTATAACATAATATTTTTAACTTCTAACATTATAAAATCTCATTTCAAATCTATAAGAGAATCAATTCTAATTTATAATCTAATAATTTCTAACTTCTAAATGATAATAACTAATTTCTAAATGTATAACATAATCATTTTTAATTTCTAACATAATAATTTATAACTTAGCTCTCACATGATAAAATTTAATTTTTAATCTATAAGATAATCAATTCTAACCTATAACATAATAATTTTTAACTTCTAACATGATAATATATATTTTCTAATTTTTAAGATAATTAGTTTTAATAAAAAAAATATAATAATTTTGACTAATATAATTTTTTCACAAAGTAATATAAAAACTAAAAAAAAATTAAAAAATAATTAGTTGTCTGGCCTGCCAAACAGAACGGTCAGGCGAATTCCGGCCGGTGATTGCGGTCGGGCGTGGTGTCGTCCGGCCGACATGTTCGGACGTGCACGGAGATGTCCAAAAAGGCCAGATGGACGGCACCATGTCTGTCCGCAATCACCGGTCGGACAACACCATGCTCGTCCGCAATCACCGGTCAGAAGGTCGAAAAACGTACCGAGATGGAAGACATTTTTTCGTCGGAAATTGCCTGGTACAGTGGATTTTATAATTTTCTAAAGTTTTTGGAAAAATGAGGGGGAAAGTGGTCCAAGGGGGGCGGTACATAGTAATATGGGGTTTTAATAGTAACACTTTTTAGAAAATAGATCCACATTCAACGAAAATGTATTTAGTGATACTGTGTGGCGTGTTCTCACGAGCCTCATATTAATTTTTTTTTCTATTATTTCCAAATATTAATTATGACACAGCGAGCGTGTACAGAAGAGAATAAAAGAGATAAAATTCAAAATTTAAGTATTTTATTTCATAAAGAGAACAAAAGAGATAAAACTCAAGATTTATGTATTTTATTTCATAAAAGTCCATCGGCTATGAAGAAAGGGAGAAGAATAAATAGAATACTCATCTCCCTAATTTTCTATTTTGCCTAACAAGAAAGATTAGACAAAGATAAATATTCACCTACAATCTAGATAATGCAAATAATAATAATAATAATAATAATAATAATAATAATAATAATAATAATAATAATAATAGAAATAAATAATTATATTAAAGATTCTAAAGATTATGATTGTCTTTTATCTCCACCATTCTCCTCCTTTCGAAAAAGATTCGCCCTCGAATCTAGCACAATCTTGTTTCCATCGGAAGTATTACCATGGAGTGTTTCCAAGTGGTTGACATGAAACACCCAGTTTTACGGGCCGACAATTTGGAATACTCATGAGCAGAAAACCTATATGTCGTCAATAAGCTCCACACACAATTGTCGACCGCAATCTCGACATGGCGACAACGTGCATCCGCATGCCGCTTGTACGAAGCATAAACACCCTCGTTACAATGGTATAAAATCCCAAGGAATTTATCAAAGCTGATGTGTTGAAGATCATTTTCACCTCTCTTAGCGGAATCGATATGGCTGTGACCCGGGCCTCTCGAGAGGGATTCAACAATCACCACCGGCACTGGCCAAAGGACGACGTAGGATCAGACGTCAACTGTAAAAATGGTAGAGTAGGATCGATATCGGGATTGTCACTACAAGAATAATGATTTTTAGTGACGATAATTTTTGTTGCTATGTCGTCAGAAAAAAAATTGTCGCTAATAATGTCCTAATATTGTCGCTATATGTTCGAATGTCGTCACAATAATACCTCTTATTGTGACAGTATTTTTTGTGACGACATAGCGACAAAAATTATCGTAACTAAAAATCATTATTCTTGTAGTGTGTCATTGTCTTCTTCCGCCTTGTCGTCGTCCTAAATAAGCGGACCCTCATACCCGGAAGACCACTCGTCATCAACGCGAAGCAGACCCTCGTATTCGGTCGACCCACCCTTGCTCATCCGTACAGGCCCCTGAATAGTCGAGGACGGTCTCAACCGTAGTCATTCAATCCATGAATTCTGAACTGTAGCCATCCAATCCAAGATTTCTGGCGCGTTCAAGCAGCTGGTGAACTCTGGGATATCAATGCGAAATGACGAATCCCACCGATGCTCCTCCGCTAGAAAATTACCATCACAAGTCGGATAGTCAAAACGATTAACCTCGGATAGGGTGTCATCGTCACCTTTCCCGACCCGCGATGGAGGCGACCGAGTAGGAGGCACCCCGCGTGGACCCCATCCACGATCCCCGCGCATCCCACCGTGCATCCCACCCCGTTCCACATCGTGGGCGCAGTTCATCCGATCGTGCGGTACAACAG